CAAGTTTCTGTAAAATATACATTGACATCCAGAAATTTTCAGCGAAAGTATCTTGCTGGTTGGAGTCTCTCACCTCGAGACCAGGCTATCTGTGCTGTTTTGCTTCAAGGGGTAGAAGTATGGGTTTTGCAGAGTAGAATGGCCACGAATTTCAAACAAGTTTCTGTATAATAAAACATCGACACCCAGAAACTTCTGGCGAAAATATCTTGCTGCTTGAAGCAGCAAGATATTTTCGCCAGAAGTTTCTGGGTGTCGATGTATTATTATTTCGCCAGAAGTCGCCACGATTCTTTCTTCCCTCGAGACCAAGCTCCCTGTCTTTTTTGCTTTTAGGACCAGAAGTGTGGTTTTTGAGTTTGTGGTTCTCGGAAGTTTGGGGGCCAAAAGTTTTAGTGAAAATGTCCTATCGGATGAAGCTCATGGGTCTGTCCATCCTCAGAGACCACTTTTTTGCTTTCAGAGGCAGAAGTATGGTTTTTGCAGAGTGGAAGGGACAGAAGTAAATTTCAGGGAAATTTCTGTATAATTAGCTATTGACTCGTAGAAATGCTTAGCGGAAATATCTTGCCGCCTCAGTTTATAAGCCTCTTCTTCCCTCGAGACCAGGCTCTTTGTGCTTTTCTGATTTTAGGGGCAAAAGTAGGATTTTCAAAAGGTAAAGGCGGGCCAAAGTGAATCTATAACAACTTTAGGTAAATTTATCGTCTTCGTCAATTCCGAGTGTGATTATATAATTCTCAGCATGCTCACTTACCCTCGGACCAGTGCCATCTCAGGCTCGCAGCGCTTTGGAAAAAAATGAAGTCAATAAAATTAGTGGGTGTTCTCAAAAACGGTTACTATCTTTGCAGTGAGCGCGCTCACATACAGCTTTGTGCCAAATGCCAGCCGTGTAGCTCTAATTTTACAAAGAATAGAAAAATCGACAGAAATAATAGGCACTTTCAAAAACACTTATTACAATCGTCAATGTTCGCTTACCCCTCTTTGCCAACTCCCAGCCCCGTAGTTCAAAATTCGCAAAAAAATCGATAAAATGATAAAAGTAATGGCCATTTTTGAAAATGGTTATCATACTCGTAATCAGCATGTTCGCTACCCCCTTGTGCCAACTCTCAACGCCGTAGCTCGAACTTTGCAAAAAATCGATAAAATGCTAAAGCAATTGATAATTCGGAACACTAGTATTGTATTCGTAATCATACTCGATTACCCCCCTGTGCCAACTCCCAGCCCCGTAGCTCGAACTTTTCAAAAAATCGATAAAATGATAAAAGCAATTGATAATTCTGAAAACTAGTATTGTATTCGTAACAGGGTCAAGCGTGTTGATGCGATCCGGGACCCTCATTTACGACCCCCCCCCCCTTGAAGGTATCCATCCGTACCACCCCCCCCCCCCCACCCTCCCCCATTTATCCCCCTTACCTCCCCTGCCCACGTTCCTCGAAGTAACCTGCATAAATGAATGTCAATCTCAAAAAACACCTGCGTGAGAATTTCAGTGAGGTTTCGAAAGCAGAATTTCTAGGCCAACGGGAGCGCCCAGCATCTGTAGCACACATACACACCTTTAATAATGTTTGAGTTTCTGCAAGTTTTTTTGGGCATACTTCAGGCCAGCAAATTCGGTTCCCGTAAGCGACACAAATTTTTGCACGGAGAAAAAAAGTGACATTCTTGAACTACAAAAGATGTTTTCGACTAAGAAGCTTACTTCCTACCTCTTCCACAGTTTTTCCCGCGGAAAAAAACCGCTTTAGCGCCGTCCAGAACGACGTCAAAAACGTGCATGAGCACGGTAGTTTGAAAATTCGTAACTAAGGCCAGGAAAAGACTGAGAGGTTGGAAAGCACAGGTTGTGTAGCATGATGCCTGCACTATCCATAGAGAAAGTTTCAGCCCTTGAGAAGCAGTGAGCTCGAAAAAATTTAGATGCAACTCTCGCAAATCTAGATGCGATCCTAAAAAGCAAAAACTGGGATTTTTGAGCTTAAAATTTTGTAACTTACCAGAGAAGCTATAAAACAGCCTGCAATTTTTATGAGGGAAAATAGGAGGATGGCCTTATATTACTGCAGAATTGCAGCCAACAAGCTTCAATAGCTCCGAAGAAATTTAGATGCGACCCAGATACGACCCCCCTTTCCTGATTTTTTGCTACCATACATAAAATTATAAGAAAATCCACAGTTGACAAAATAACACCAAATTTTGCAGTGATGTAGCGGAGCATCTCCAAAGTACAGATAAATCATATGGGCTTGTGAAAAATATTACAAAAAGATTTAGAAATTTATGATTGTCACAGCTGGTAGATATTCGCTTTTGTCGAGTGTGTGAGACTTCAGGAGGGCTTCAGAAGCAAGATTTCTAAAGCAATCGGTACATTTAGCATTTTTATCAAATAATACGTCCTTCAAAAGTGTTTTGAGCTCTTGTAAATGTTTTTTTTGAGAATTTCTACAGATTTTTTATCTTTTTTATTCTGATTTCCACTTTTTTATAGATTTATTGTGAAGAACACAACTAATTATCTGCTTTTCGATTCCCTTTCAAGCTTAGGGTATTTTAAAATAACTGCCTTCTCTTACGACCCCCCCCCCCACCTTAGGTACCCTCTTTACGACCCCCCGTTGCGACAGTCGCATCACAAGCTTGACCCTGATTCGTAATCATATTCGATTACCCCCCTGTGCCAACTCCCAGCCCTGTAGCTCGAACTTTGCAAAAAATCGATAAAATGACAAAAGTAATTGATAATTTTAAGAACTAATATTGTATTCGTAATCAGCATGCTCGCTTACCCCCCTGTGCCAACTCTCAGCACCGTAGCTCGAACTTTGCAAAAAATCGATAAAATGATAAAAGCAATTGGTAATTCTGAAAACTAGTATTGTATTCGTAATCATACTCGATTACCCCCCTGTGCCAACTCTCAGCACCGTAGCTCGAACTTTGCAAAAAATCGATAAAATGATAAAAGCAATTGGTAATTCTGAAAACTAGTAATGTATTCGTAATCATACTCGATTACCCCCCTGTGCCAACTCCCAGCCCCGTAGCTCGAACTTTGCAAAAAATCGGTAAATTGATAAAAGCAATTGATAATTCTGAAAACTTGTTGTATTCGTAATCAGCATACTCGATTACCCCCTTTGCTAACTCCCAGCCCCGTAGTTCAAAATTTGCAAGAATGATAAAAGTAATGGGCATTTTTGAAAATGGTTATCATATTCGTAATCAGCATGCTCGATTACCCCCCTGTGCCAACTCGTAGCCCCGTAGTTCAAAATTTGCAAGTAATCGATAAATTTGGTGGATGTAGTAACAAGTTTCCGTACTGGAAAACAACAGACACGAAAACACCATCGACCAGAAAAACACCATCGAGGACGTACAGACAGCATCCACCAGCGTACAGACAAGTACGCCATTCGGTTTTATATATATAGAAGGATTAGGTCATTCCGAAAGTAATTTCGCTTTTTTCAAACGGGCGCTACATTTGATGGAACAAAGGTTTCTAAGAGATCTTGGTAGCATTCGATGCAGCATTTCATTCTCTTTCTAATGGTTATGAAATTGTTGCAAAACAGTCAATGAGCTTTCAGAAAATAACCAAAATCTGCGACCTATGCTTTTTGAGATAGTCAAGTTTCACAATTTTTTAAATTTTTTATATCAATTCTCAGAAGAAGTTCAAGTGACGTTTCGATAGGGCAAACCTCATAGAATACAGTGCAACTTTTTTCTCTTTTTCATAGCTTGTCATACATTTTTAACAGAATTTTAACTGATGGTACCGATTTCCATACTTAGACAGCTAAATCCTAGTAGAACATCGAACCTTGAGCAGCTCGGATATCATTCGATGCAGCTTTTTCTCCTCTTTCTAATGGGTGTTTTTTGTTTCCGATTCGTTTAGTTTTCGGGGATAAAATCATCATATCTCATTTTTTAGGGAGCCCCAGGCTGTACCCAAAAAACTCGAAATTTGATATTTCGAACCCGCAAACCCTCACTTGCTTTGCTTTGCTTTGCTAATTCATAGTACCATCTTGATAGTCTCAAATTCCGAAAAATTATGATGTTTGATGCGATTGTAGTTGAAGTGGGCCTGCCAAAATCCGATGGTTCTGCTAAGAAATCTTTTGAAAAATTACGGCGAGGTACGAGAAAGGAAAAAAAGTAGCGCTGTATTCTATAAGCTTTACTCTATCGAAACGTTACTTGAACTCCTTCGGAGGTTTAAAAAAGGTTTAAAAAATCGTGAAACTTGACCATCTCAAAAAGCTAGGTCGCAGATTTTAGTTATTTTCTGAAAGCTCATTAAATGTTTTGCTACAGTTTCATATCCGTTAGAAAGAGAATGAAATGCTGCATCGAATGCTGCCAAGATCTCTTGGAAACCTTTGTTTCATCAGATGTGGCGCCCGTTTAAAGAAAGCGAAATTACTTTCGGAATGACCTAATAGAAGGATTTGGTAACTGTAGAAGCTTTAAGCTACTTCGTTACAAGATATCTTACCTAACCTTTGATTCAATTGGCTTGGCGGTTGGAAGGAGTTTCGTGGCCTGATTGAGTTTGGGTAGTGATCAGAGACGCAGACTGCGTCGCTGCGTCGCGGGCTCGAGCGGCTTCAATTAGACCGCAAAGCCCCGCCTTCCAGCCGCCAAGCAAGTTGAAGCAAAGGTTAAGTACTGCTACTTGAGTTGTTATAGAGCTTCGGAGTTCCATGTCAAAACGAAATTACTTATTAGCCAACCTAACATTTGAGAGCTATCGTTGCTTTCGTTTGCATTAGGACTTTGATTTGATGTAGTGGCATAGAGAATGAGCCCAGAAAGGGATCAAGGGCAGTTAAAATCAACACACTGAATTGTTAGTAGAATTATGAAATAGTATTTGTCGGTTTCAGCAATGTCTTTCAGGAGCTGTCTCTTCAACTTTCAACGCAACGTCTGACGTAGCAGGAAGTAAGCCTTGCGCTCAGATGCGGGGTGAAAATTGCGAGTGAGTCGTGAGTGAGAACGGAATTTGTCAGCATAACGAATTGCTGAAAATAGTGAATTAGGAATCCGCATGAGAGTAGCAACTGTCAAGCTGGGAATTTTTGGGTGCGAGAAGCAAGGGGGAAATCTCATGGGGCGCTCCGGGAATTTGGAGGGGGTATTTGCAAATAGAAGTAGGAATTGAAATGATCTCACAAATGGAACAATTGGGACGATTTTACTATTCGTTCGCTTTAGTATCAACAGTCGTACTTGATCTTGGATATGTCACTTTCTGCAAACCTATCGAAATTGTTGTTCTTGTCCTTCTTCCAACAAACCCATTTTTAGGCAAGAACCTCGATGAGGTTGATGAGTGGCTTTCGGATGGTAAAGAAATGTGTCGCTTCCAGCGTGTGCGTAATGATATATACCAAGTCGGTTGTATAACATTGCTAATCCGAACAAGGTAAGAGAAGTTTTGAGAACTTTATGTCAATAAAGAGAAAATGGTGGGTAATGATTAACACATTGACGACCGCTTGACACACATGGTGTGTCAAGGCTTGACACACCATGACTCTCATTGGAATGGCTACTAACTTCTGCCAAACCAACTCTGGGAGTTTTCTTTTATGCTGGATCTAGATACAACCTCTACTGTTTTTGCCAGCATTCCAACGCTACTGTAGGTGTACTGTAGATGGAATTGTGCGTGATCTTATCTGAAAAATGTTGGCTGGTCCGAGAAAGGCCTTGGTCGTCAATGTGTTAAAGAGTGTGGCAAGCTTATCTCTGAAAAATTCTCACCATTGGAACGTACAAAGTCGTTTTTCCCCCAATGCTCAGCTAACAGTGTAGCTGCTAGTTTCGAGTGCATAAGAGTGGGATTAGTGACAACGTAAGAGATAACAAGATGGCACCCTTCAATTTTTCAAAATGAATCAAAATTTCCAGCGCCTCCGTGCAGTCTGCGAGGCTAGAAAACTAAAGATAAACTCATCTCAACTCCCATGTCACTTTTCAACATGGCATGGATTAGTGTGCGGCCGCCTCTCGGGGTTGCGTCACGTTTGTGGGCGTCGTCTGCATTTGCCAGTTGAATTAGCTGATTTTGCCACTTTAAAAGTTAAGGGTGTTTCTTTGCATTTTCCTTTCTTTTGGATTCTTGCTGTGGAAGTGTCGTGTAAAGGACTAGATGGATCAAAACCAGGGTTGAGCCTGGGGTCAGGCGCGCTCGACCTGCGGATGTGTTGGAGGTAAGACGGAGGGGACGGGGTCGTAGTCAAGACGAATTTGTTCACAAAATGGAGGGGATGCTGCGCTTGAGTAAGGTGAAAAAGAAGAGCGCTAGACTAGTGATTATCATTCCGCCGAAGAGGAAATGACTGCCGTTAATTGTATACTGGTTAACTCCACTAACGAAGTTTCTGACAACGATAAGGTTACCAAAGAGGCTTGCTGTGTGGGTAAGATGGGTAAAATTTGCCAAAATGCATGCCAAAATACCTACACGAGTTCTACAAACCACCATCTATCACATTTTCTAGTGTTTCCTAATATCAGGAAGCGTAATTTTCAGACATGATTAGCTTGGTCACGAAAGTAAAAGGAAATCTGCTTTCTTGGAGTCAAAAGGATATAGTACTCTTATCAGTCTAGGTAGAAATTATATCTTCTATCGCTTTCAAAAAGTGGATCAAGAAGTGCTGCCAAAATTTCAATGACCGCGTTTTCCACCTTGAGTGCTTCAACTCCACCGATCACCACAACGCCAAACAACTACCGTAGAGTCTTCGAGATTTTTGCTAGCGAATCACATAAAACTGGGATGGAAAAGATTCTTTGATGATATTAACCGGGTCAGGCGCATTCCTCAAAAGCTCAGGCCGCCTGAGCTTTTGTAGCCTTGCGCCTGACCCTCTTAACAGTCTTCAAAAATCCAGGAATCGCTCCATTCCTGGTATGAGTACTGAGCTCATAGCCCCTTCTTACTACAGTAAAAATTTGGAGCCAGGCACCCCAGCCTTAAAGAAGTTATGATTCTTGTAATAGACCCATTCAGATCAAAATCAATCGTAAAATTACGTGTGATTGTCATTCTTTAGAAAAGAATGGCGTCTTTCAAAATGCCGCTGTAAGGTCTCCCGGAGGTGAAAAGGAGGAAGGGGGTCATTTGGGACTTTCAGAGGAGGGGAGGGGGTCGTTTTCAAAAGGCTTGTGCATGTCTTCTTGCTCAAATCTGATCAAAACGCCAGAGGCTCAGCAACAGTACGAAAGAAGGGACTTTTTCTTCATCCGGACCCATTTTTTCTAAAAAAGATATTACTTCTTTCCTCGTACGTATTTGGTCCCAATTTCACAGGAAAGAATGTCAATCTTCCTGCCACGTGTCAGTAAAATTTGACATGTTATTCACATGTTCAACAGGTCTGACCTAGAGTTTGAGTTGCCCTAACTAGCGAAGTAAGTTCAATTTGTTTTTTAGCCGATAGTGGGCCCATTTTTGATCGAACAGTATCAAAACTGAACATTGTTATCATAGTAACGTCATTTTGCTATTGGTAAACAGATTAGACTTGCCCAGAATAGAAGTGAGCTAAGGTTTCATCGTCTAAGTGACAAGTAAGTATCAGGGAGGAACTTCAAGCCGTCATTTATAGTCTCGTCTGGCTAAATTGGCAAGACAAAATGTTTGAAGAGAAAGACAATGATGATTCATTGCTGAAAATGTTGAAGACGTTTTAGTATAAGTTCTAGATTGTTTTGCTCTTATAGAAAACAATCAAACAGCTTCTAGGTGATCACAAATGCCCTTCTACCTCACCGGAAATGATTTCGAAAAAAATGTCATAATGGACCAAAACGTGTCATTTCCTGAAACTTGGCAGGGAGGCAGTCCTCGTGGAATCTTTGAAAAGCTGTTCTTAGACTAAAGAACGCATTGTATGACAGCCTTCCGAAAAAATGGGTCCGGATAACAGGAAAGTACCGAAAAAACTTAAAAATATATCTTTGTCCTGTCACATTTTTCATTACTGGTAAGATAGGAAATAGTTATCGGTGCTATTTTTTCACTCTAACGTGAAATGCTTGCTTATACTCAACAGGTATTTTTTACAAGGTCATATTTGATCTTCAATCCGAGTTCCTTGTGATGTTATGCTACTATACAAAACACGATGTAAGGCACATAGTTTCTATAATATATTGTCGAACGGTTCTGTTGAACAACGGGCAAATACTCACCGTTAGAGTTACTGAAATATAGCAAAAGCACATGTAACAGAGTAGTATTAAAAACCTGTTTTGAAGCTTTTTGTGGTGTTGTTACATCTCTGGCGTATCCGTTCGTTTATTCGATCACACACCATGTCTCTTACGGCAAGATTCAAAAAATAAAAGCAAACTACAAAAGATACACCACGAAACTAGTTAGCCGGCAAAATCAGCCGTCGGCTAGCAAAATGAGCAAATGTGGCGCAGGAGCCGGCCCCATAAATCTACAGAGTCGGATGCGTGGGCGGTCTCGTCGCGCGCGCAGCTTTTACCACGCTTGCCGCCTGCTGCCATCTTGTTAGGTCTCAATATTTCAATTGTACTGTCGCTTATCGACTCTGTGATCTTTCTCTTTCGTCGAGCCACCAGAAGATGTTACCCCAACAGTTTAATGGTCTCCCGTGTTTGGAGAACTTATTTAAGGTTTCCTAACATGTCTGGTAACAAGTTGGGATACTCGCAAACGCTTCTCAGGCTTTTGAGTAAATGTAATTTTAGTTTAGTTCATACTAGCTGGCTTACCCGACTCGCCCGGCCCTGTCACAACACTTTCTTATGATAAATGTCAAATCCCCATCACTGTACAACCTTTCCTGTGCCCACTTTTACATGCCAATTGTCTATTACCTCTATGTTAGTAATCAGGCATGTGTCAGCTGCGCCCCTCTTTCTCGGTCCCGCAACACGCGAGTCCGTTACTGAAGGGGCCTCGGCTGAACTTTCGGGTCCGACTCCACTCAAGAAATCCACAAAAGGGTAGGTTACTACCCCAAAAATTACAAGACACAATGTACTACTTCAAATCTGGATGGATAATTGACCTATTACTAAGATAAAAACATGACACCAAAAGAGACTATGGATTAGGAGACCCTTATGAGGCCTCAGAGAGAGAAACACCATAGATTACAAAGAGTAAAGAAATGGAAAATCTAAAGCATAGATCCGCCGTCCGATCCGATCATGGCCAAACGGCCGGGTAATTTATACCAAAGACAATAGCAAGCCCTCAGCTGAACAATACAGAAACAATACAACATTATCCACGGAGGCAATTTTGCGATCAAGCTCGATAATGTACTTTCCGAGCACTTCGGCAGTTGCATGTGCAGAGTATCACGAAACAATAGATCTTGTCTCCGTTGCGTTCATATCTGCCGCATACGTTCTGTCATTCCTCTTCCACGTATTGATGTGCCGATCTTACACATGCTCACTTACCTCCTGTGCCAGCTCCCAGCTCCGCAGGTCAAACTTTGCAAAAAAGCAATAAAATCGGTAAAAGTAACGAATAGTTTTGAAAACTAATATTGTATTCGCAAACAGCATGATTGATTACTCAAATCATTATTTACGAAATTGATAAAATCGATATCGATCGATAACGAAAAATAGCCTGGGATACCCGTCCCGCCTGAAGTGTATGTGTGCTAAGTTCGGTCCGGATCGGTTCAGAAATAAAATTTTCTTCTCGGAACATACGTACCGTTTGCGCCCCAGAGAGGTTCCCAGTTCCCATGTGAAAGCGTGCGTACGTGGTGCAACGCTGCCTTTCGCTCTTTTGACACGTTTCTCCTGAGATTTTAACGGAAGTGCCCGAGGTTAACATGTTCAAAAGTGCGAAAGGCAGCGAGATGACGCGGTACCTATGGGAACCTCTCTGGGACGCAGACGATACATACACAGCAAGCACTCAGCTTTATATAAGATGACCCGACAGCTTTCATGACGTAGGCATCTCCAACACTTAGTCTGAACGAAATTTTGGAGATTTTGAAGATACTTTGTATTTTCTTCTTGAGCATACACGAGATTGGTGATTAATTTATTCAATCCACGGCTAACGTTTCGGCAGATCGTCTTCGTCAGAGCCTGTAAGGAACAATACGATCCGCAGCCGATTCCAACAAGTCTTACAGCTGAACAGGCAAAATGCTGAACTTTGTTTTCGACCACTGATTCAGCTGCAGTCGAGCACGTACCTTCTGGATACACCGATACGACTTTGCTAGAGGAAAGTGGAGGTTCACGTTGTCCTCTGCTAGAGGAAGATGGACTTGTTAGACGTGTATGCAGACCGCTATTTATATACACCAGATCAAAATAATTGATCTAGATGAGGCGAGAGTTCATGCGTAATTGCTAAGTTTTCCTCTTTCCGATTCATTTGTGGGCTTCTTGCATGAATCC